TTAAGGCACTTTTATCGAGTTCGGATCCTCTCCTTGCATATCTTCCTTGATTTTCTATGTGCAACGGCTGAGATCAGCCGTTGCAGATCCAACGGATATTAAAAAAAAATATATATGAAATTGAAATCTCATTTTCCCGTCCAAAACAATACACAACCTATATAGAGGTTATACAGATTTTGATTTGGAATCACACTCACAAAAACACACACTCATCCCTTCTTCTCTATCGAACCCACCCTCACCGGCGACCCAGTCTCGAAGCTGTTGTAGATTTGACGACAGTGACCCACTCTCGATGCCATTACAAATTCTGTCTACTTGGCAAACCAGAGCCGTCACGCTCTTGTCTCCCACCTCACCGGCAGACCCCTCTACAGCGACCCACTCCCCAAACCGAACCCATTGCTTTGCCCTCGTTCTGTCTGCCCTCACTTCGCAAACTAGAGGTTAGTCTTCATTGTCTTTGTCTCTGTAATTGAACTGCATTTTGTGTGTTTGTTTGGAATTTTTTCAAACTGAAATTAGAGGTTAGTCTTCATGTGACTGTAAGTTTATCTCACTAGAATATTTTTTTGTCTCTCGATTTTTTTTATTTTTATTTATCTTTAGGCTTTGTAAAGACATTGTTTGTTTACAATTTGTTATAATTGATGACTTTGTCGTGAGTCATGACTGTTAATTGGTTAGATATTGTTTTTTCACAATTTGGGTTTGACTAAAATGGAGAAAAATTTACCTTTACAATTTGGGTCTTCTAAGACTTAATGTCTCTGTGTAGATGTCTATATATAGATCTATTTGTAGTTGTGCATTAAGCTTGCAAATTTAGTGTATGGTACTTTCTTGTCTTGCTTTTGATTGTTAATATATGACAAGCACTTACTATTTGACACTTTGTTTAAGTATAGCTTATTACTCTTGGAATCAGTTACATTGTTTGGTTAAAACATGCTTAATATGGCAGTTTTGTGTGCCGAAAGGTGAAATGTAAATTGACAGTGTTGTTTAGGGCAGTTAGATACACCATTGCTTGATGTGAACATATAAAGAGATAAAAAAATTCACTTGTTATAATTGATGATTAGGCTCTTAAAGTTCACAATTTGTATTTTTATGTTATTTCCTATCCGTTGAGCTACAATAGGCTTGCCAAACCCTGTGTAGTGACCCAACCCAAAACTAAATGACTCTTGTTGCCCATGAATCAGTGTTACCAAAGGTACTTGGCTTGCATACCTTTTCTTAGACACTTTAAAGAGAACCAAGTAGTTGAAGTTTGAGATTATGTAGTTTAATTGATTTATTATTTGATCATAATTGGGTCTCACTCCTTAGTTCTCATTTCTTGTTTCTTTATCCAAGTGTGACAATGAGTTCTTTGACCATAGTGCAGATATTGTGTTTTTTTTTTGTCTCTGAGATAAAGATTTTATTTATGTAGCTAAGATTTTATTTATATGGGTTTTCAATTGCATTTTGATATGGATATGGAACCAGAGAATGATTGTTCTTGGAAGCCAAAACAGGGAATGACATTTGATTCTAAATAATGTGTGTATGATTTTTATAATACATATGGAGGAAGAATGAGGTTTAGCATAAGAATGGATTATTGTAGGAAGAACAAGTTCACTAACCAACTTATTTGTAGACTGTTGGTTTGCAACAAGGAGGGATTTCAGAAGGTTGACAAACGAGACCCATTGGCAAAAACCCTAAAGCTGAAACTAGGACTGGTTGTGAGGCTCGACTTTATGTTAAATTAGATGAGGGTATTGGGAAATTTGTTGTGATTGATTTCAAAGAAAAACACAACCATGATCTTGTATCACCCGAGTGTGCCCACATGTTGCCGTCACAAAGAAAGATATTGACTACCCAAGCAATTGAGTTAGATTTGGTGGCACAGTTTGGTCTTCGTTTAGGCCAGTCTTTTAAGCTCATGGGTAGGGAAGTTGGTGGGAGGCAATGTCTTGGGTTTACAAAATTAGATCAAAAAAATTATTTGAGAACAAAAAGACATCAAAGTTTAGCATATGGGGAAGTAGGCAATGTGTTGCAATACTTTAAAGAAAAATCTTTGCAGAATCCTTCATTCTTTTATGCTTTTCAGTTAGATAATGAGGAGCAAATAATGAATATGCTTTGGGCCGATGCACAAATGATCATGGATTATGCCCAATTTGGTGATGTGCCACATTTGATACGACTTACAAGTTAACAAAGAACATAGACCCTTTGTATCTTTTGTGGGATTCAACCATCATAAGGAAACCGTTATATTTGGTGCAGCCTTGCTGTATGATGAGACCGCCGAATCGTTTGTATGGTTGTTTCAAAATTTTCTAGAGGCTATGCCAAGAAAGGCACCAAAAACTTTGTTCACCGATCAAGATGCTGCAATGGCTAAAACCATACCCATCGTTATGCCTGACACAAGTCACCGATTGTGTACTTGGCATTTGATGCAAAATGTATTAAAACATGTTAATTGTTTGTTCCAAGATAAGCGGGTAAAAGGTGTACTAAATAAATTATTCTTTGACATTGAAGATGCAAATCGATGGAAGTTAGAGTGGGCGGAAATGCTTGATAAATATGATGCGCATGACAACCATTGGTTGAAATTGACTTTTGCGGTGAAAGAAAAATAGGGCTGGCCATATGTTAGATCAACATGGGTTGCGGGAATGAATACCACACAACTTATTGAATCTTTTAATGCTTTTTTGAAGGATTACATTCGTTCTGATTTTAACTTAAATGAATTCTTCATGCATTTCGAAAGGGTACTTTACAAGAAGCGATACAAGAAGTTAGAAGCATGATATGCTTTGTGCCAAAGGTTGCCAAAGGTGAAAGCAACAGTAAGAATGTTAATACAAATGGGTAATGTGTACACAAAAAAGATTTTTAAGGAATTTCAAAATGAGTACTTTCGATTCATTGAATCGGACATAGAAGCAATTGAATATGGCGAGGCTAGTACCATTTACACAGTTGTTGATGTTGATAACAAACATGCAAGGAAAGTGAAGATGGAGAGGGATGGCTCTTTGGGTTGTAATTGTACAAAGTTTGAAAGAGAAAGAATCTTGTGTTGTCATTCATTGAAGGTTATTAGAGACATAATGAAGATGAATGAGGTTCCTCCACAATACATTCTAAAGAGGTGGACCAAACAAGCAAGAGCCAAAACTGTGAAGGACATTAAGGGGAATGACATTCAAGTAGATGTGAAATTCCAATAAGCCTCGCGGTATGAGACATTGATGACCGCATTTAGAGCACTAGCAAGTAGAGCTGCTGAAACTGAAGAAACTTATGATTTTTGTACTGCACACCTTGCTACATTAGGTCTTGTAAAGAGTCATAGCTTATTTTGAGTTTTTCAACGACTTGATAATCAGGAATCGCTTTCAATTTCTCCAATTGACTTTTCCAGACATTTAAGCTTTTCCCTGACAGAAAAGAACCCAAAATTTTTATAGCTAATGAAAGCCCTCCATAGTATTGTACCACCCTTTCTGAGTCCTCTATGAAACCATCAATGGGACGATTTTTCCCAAAGGCATGCCAACTAAAGAGCTCTAAGGACTCATTATAATCCAAATTTCCAATCTTGTGAATGTGGCTAACTTCATGAGCCCTTAGCAACCGCTCACGTCTAGTGGTTATGATGATTTTACTACCTTGAAAAAGCCAATCTCGCATCCCAAGTATTGCATCTAGTTGGTCTATTGTATCCACATCATCAAGAATAATAAGAACTCTTTTGCAACGTAATGCATCTTTAATTTTAACAATTCCTTCTTCAACACTATAAAACTTTTTTTTTTCTTCCATTTAAAATATCTGAAAGAAGTTGTCTTTGTAATTGAAGTAAACCATTTGGTTGTTTTAGAGTTTCTCTTACATTTGCAAGAAAACTGCTACCTTTGAAGCTTGAGAAGTTCGAATTATATAGAAATTTGGCAATGGTTGTCTTCACTATTCCACCTATCCCACAAATTGCGACTATAACAACATCACTAGACCCATCTCGTAACCAAAGCCCAATATTTTTGGCTCGAGAATGTATTCCAATCAAGTAGGGGGAATTGCCCAAGATTGTGTGTCTTATTTTGTCTGAAACAACTTCTACAATTTTGTCGATAAATTTTGACTCGAGTCTAAAAACAAGATCAAGATTAAAAATAAAGCACAATAAGAATGCAATAACTTGAAATTAATTATAAATTCTCATGCAATAATGAACAAAATGACTATGTTATTTATTGTCTTTGTTAAAACAATTAGACAAGTCCTAGATGAAAAGAAAAGAGATTTTACAATCATTGTTTTGGATCAATACTATTTTTTCTAATATAAATTATTTTCCCTACTTTGTGTTTTTTTTTTTAATTTTTTAATATAGTAAGCTAATAAGTTATTAAAATTTTGAAGAATAGTCTAATTTTTTTCAATAAAATTTTAGGGTTAATTATACCAAGAGCCCTCAATTATTGGTGTATATATATCATTTATCCCTTCAACTATGAATCCATACTTTTGACTCCTTCAACTATATATCACTTTCACCCCTCTAGACATCTCTAAAATGAGTGAATTTGTACGGTTTTTATAGTTGAGGAAGTCAATATGTACAAATTCATAGATGGGGTAAAGTAATATGCACTACTAGTTGATGGGGTCAATCTTGGTGTAATTAACCCAAATTTTTATGATTGGAAATGAACAATTTCATATGATCTTTTCAAATAGCTTCAAAGGGAGAACCATCTAAAAAAATCATAGTTAAAAAATTCAAGTTTTTTTTTTGGGGTATTATGAAGAACTTCTTGTGAACCTATACCGATTTGAAAAGAAACCGACTGGATGTTCCCTCAAGGACAATTTAACTTCTATATTTGAAGGTTATCTTCTAGAAATTAAAAGATGTCAAACTCTTGGAATTTAAAATAAATAAAAAAAAGTTCATCCCAAATTTTGATCAAATAATTTTTAATCTAAATGGCCCTCATATGAAATACTTTTAACTACGAAATCCCAAAAAAGGGTGATGCAAGTAATGCTTAGCTAAAAGAGCAAAGTTACCCGTCAGCTTGATTTTGTAAATTCATCCCTGCTAAATCTGCAGCTTCTCTAAGGGCTGCCCTCCATTCTTGCATCTTGCCCTTCCAGTCATCTTTTCTTTCACCTGCTTCTGAATGGAATTTCTTTTCAGGCCTCTTGAATGATTTTTTGAAACTTCCCATTTGCTTCCTCACATGGGATGGATCCACGTGATAGAAGACAGGTAGCACTACATGGCCAGTGGTCTTCCTACGTTTGAGGATCATCACTAGTTCATCAAGACACCAACTTGAAGAAGCATAGTCTTTTGAGAAGACAACTATTGAAATCCTTGACTCTTGAACTGCTTTCTGCAACTCAAACTTAATATTTTCACCTCTTTCAATCTCATCGTCATCTTTGAAGGTGCAAAATCCTGCATGCTTCAAAGCTGTGTAGAGGTGGTCAGTGAACGTCTTGCGAGTGTCTTCACCTCTGAAACTTAAGAACACATGATAACTACATGGAGAATCTGAAGAGGAGTCATCTTGGGCTCTAACAATCTCCATTGGATTAAAGCTCCGTAAAGAATTAAGGACAGAAGAGCTATGAGATGGGATGGATGCCATCTGTCAAGGCATCATATATATTTTATAGGAGATGTGACTATATATCGAAAAAGAAAGACTGAGTAAAAAATAAAAAAAAATGAAAGTGAGGAAATGATACCATAATTTACCTGTTGATTTATAATTTATCCTGGAAGCTTCAAAGCGAGTGAATGGACATTTTAAGGACACTTGTTTGTGGACATTTTGAGCATGGAAGACGCTGCTAGGAAGTTTGGGTAATAAAAAAATAAAAATAAAATAAAAGGTACAAATGTGTGGGAAAAGTGGCAGGATGAGCAAGGTTGGATGAAAATGATGTGAAAGTGGGGATTTTTATTTTTTACCAAATTAAAAGGGTCTATTTTATAAGATAATTTTTTTTTAGTTTGTATCATGCATATGTTATGACAATTTGTTACATTTTCAGTTATAACAAATATATCTATATTATTATATTTGTGAATAATTCACTTTAGTCTCTCGAAACCTATTTTTTCATTTTGTCGAGTGGATTTTTTTATATTAAAAAAAAATTATATCAAAAAAATAAAATAAAATTATACAGTGAAATACATGAGATTTTAACCTAAGGTCTTGGATTTGGAAAACAACACTCTTACCACTTGATCAACAAGCACTATATATATTTTAATTTCAAAATCAAAATTTATATTTTACAGATTTAATAGCACACCCAACGGGTGGTCGTACACCCTTAGTGTATATATATATATACAATTGATCATAATCAAACGGTACTTGAGACATAATAAAAAAAAAAATCAGTCATAATTAAAATAACAACCATAATAGGTCATAGCCAATCACCAAAATGGATCATACCTAAACACCACTTCAGGCATAATCAAAACCTCTTCCGTCAAAACCAAAATAACAATCACAATCGATCATAACTAAATTATAAATACAATAGGTCACAATAGGCCATAACTAATTGTAAAGTCATATTTTAAAAATACAATCTAAAATTGTATTTTTTTACTTCAATTACTTTATTAAAAAAAATTAAGTCGAAATCATGTTTTGAAAGTATACTTCAGTATAATATGGAATTGAAAAATAAGTAAAAAATTATGTAAGGCAAATGCTAACAAATGTCCTTAGGCAGGACCAAAAAAAAAAGGTATTGTCACAGCAGCAGTTGTGACACCCCAATTGAGGTTAGTTTTTATTTTATTTTGATAATTTGAACCGTTTCTATAATAAGATTCATCGAGTATATTATTCACGCAAAAAATGAGGTTAATCGAACATATATAGCCCCATGATCGAACCATAATTATTTTTAAAAAAATTATTAAAATTATGTTAATTGTTTATTTATTTTTTTTAAAAAAAGAACATAATTGTAGTCTTGTTATGGGTTATAAAAACAAAAACTTATTCCTCCATGTTGCTTGTTTCTTTGTTGGGATGGATGAAGATAGGGTAGTTACAATTCTAGATGGATGTGATTTTTACACAACAGTTGGGATTCAAAATCTCATTGATAGATGTCTGTTAACGATTGATAAACACAAAAAGTTGGTGATGCATCAATTGGTTCAAGAAATGGGAAAGAAAATTGTTCGTCAAGAATCACCTAAGGAGCCAGGAGAACGTAGTAGACTCTGGAATCATAAGGATTCTTTCAATGTCTTGAGAGAAAATACTGTAAGGATTAATCATACTCCTCATTTATATTTGTATTTATTTGTGTAGTTATTTACTATAAAAAAATGATGCAAATTTAGAAACTTCATACCAAAAAAAAGAAAAAGAAAAATCATTCATAAGTTACTATGGTGGTGTTTTTATTTGAAATAAAAGTTACATCATTCCGTATGAGAATTTTGTACCAAATAAATAAATAAAAATAAATTGTTTGTATAGCATTACTCTTCTTAATCAATGTCATCTCCCTTTTATTCTTTGTCAGGGACAAGAAAAATTGAAGGTCTTATACTTGACATGAATTTTTTGGAGGATAAATATGATAGGACAGTCTTTGGTGTCAATAGAAAACGTCATTTTGAAGAATTCCTCAACACATCTTTGATGTCAAATGTAGGAAATTCATTTAAAAGACATTGTTTTGGCATCTTCTCTTGGCAGACAGCAGGCATTGCTCTATGAAATTCTGATAAGATAGCTTTGGAAGTTGATGCATTTGCAAGGATGCACAAACTAAAACTTTTGCAACTCAACTATTTATAAGTCAATGGAAGCTTTAAAAATTTTCCTAAAGGATTATGATGGTTGTGTTGGCATGGATTCTCTTTCAACTCTATATGCGATGATTTCCCTTTGGATAACCTGGTTGTTCTTGACATGCAATATAGCAACTTGCAAAAAGTTTGGGAAGGAACCAAGGTATGTTACTCATTTGTTTCTTTTCATTTCAATTTTGTTCGAGAATTAAAAGAAACAATAATAACCAATATTTTTTTTCTATTACAGTTTCTCGAGTCATTAAAAATCCTCGATCTTAGTCATTCCCATTGCCTTTCCGAAACTCCTAATTTCATGGAAGTACCCAATCTTGAGCGACTAATACTTGACAATTGTGCACGAGGTTCATGAATCCGTTGGACACCTTCAAAGACTTGTTTTATTAAATTTAAAAGACTGCAAAAATCCAAGGAAGCTTCCAAGAAGCATTGTTATGCTAAATTTTTTGGAGACACTTAACATCTCAGGTTGCTCAAATATTAAGGAATTGCCAATAAAGATGGGGACTATGGATTCTTTAACAAAGCTCAATGCAAATGGAACTGTCATAAGTCAATTACTCTCTACCACTAAGGAAGTCAAACCATGGTATTCATTCATCTGGCCTTCTCTATCGAAACCAAGAAAAAAGTGTAGAAATTTCATGTGTTCTTTTACCACAGTATTTGGTACACTTAAGTCTTGTGGATTGCAATTTATCAGAGGATGCACTTCCAAAGGATCTTAGCAACCTATCCTCATTGCAGAAATTAAATCTAAGCAATAATCCAATTTGTAGCCTCCCGAATTGCATTGGAGGTCTTAATAGACTTCAGATCCTTGAATTAGATGAGTGTAAAAGGCTTCAATCAGTTATGGTGCCGCAGAACTTGAAAGTAGTGTTGGTCATTGAATGTACATTGTTGGAGAAAGTAACATTTCAATCATTTCCATCATCAACCATAGAATTTGTCAACCTTGATGATGCATGTAGAATGTGGCGAAATTCGAGAGAGTTTGACAACTCAAAATGTGCGTTTCATTCAGCTCCATCAAGCATGCAATATAATAACAAATGGGAGAATCAATTTGTTGTGATGGAGCATTGGAGACCATCTCTATTCTATGGTATGTGCGACAATATAGTTGAGATTATGGGCCTATTAAAGTTAGAACCAATAGAGAATATTGACATGGAGATAATGAATAATTTGGGCTTGCGCAACTTAGGATCCATGGAAAACCCAATTGTTACGCTTTCAAGTAGGTACTCAAAGAATTCAAGGAAGCTTCCCCTACAGGTCTCTCTCTCTCTCTCTCTCTCTTCCAAAATAAACAAAAATAAAAATAATAAAAAATTGTAATGGTTAAATTATGGTTTCTTTGGTACAGGAATGTCATGAAGAACATATATTTTACGCTTGTCTTCCGGGAAGCAAGATTTCAACTTGGTTTAATATTAAAAATACAGGATCTTCGATATCTTTTATTGTGCCATCACATTTCAGAATTCAAGCCTTGTGTGTGTGTTCTATTTATGCACTTTCCAATATTCCACAATGTCCTTACCATAATTGTAACGCACATACTATTATCAATAATACGACCAAGAGTCTAATTTGGAGTCATTTCCCATGAATCTTTGGCATTCCAGAAGCTGATGAGGATATGATGTGGTTAAGTTATTGGAAGTTTGAAAATCAGTTGGAAGGTGGAGATGAATTGAATATTTCAGTGGTTGGAGATGAGAATTTTCAAGTAAAGGAGGTCGGAGTCCATCTTGTGTACAAGGAGCAAGAAGAGAAGAGTAGAAAAGTCTATGGAAATGTCATTCCTGGAAACCCCTCTATAGTATATCCGGTGAGATTAAAAGTGTTTCGCCTCGGCGCTCGTTGGGTGGGTTGTTCGATTTGTGACGGTCTATAACCTCAACCTTTGTGCACTAGCTTGGTTGACTCATGAGGCACAAAATCTCCAATTGCATTTTGTATCCTTTATTTTCTTCAATCTGTAGCTTTTTTTGACTTCCAATGGCTTCTGCGTGTGCCACTCCTCACATGGAGCAGAAATACAACAGAGGAGGTATTCCGTTTTATTTAAGGTTTGGAGATGGATGTGCTCTTTGGCGAGTCAATTCATTCATTGGAGAAGAAAGTTTGCTAATGACTTGCTATTCATCTTGGCTTTGTTGTTATTCTAGTTGGATTTTATTGCTTAATTAGTGTCTTAACAGAAGACTTTGTTGCTGATTAGTTAGTTTGAGAGGGTGTTCTGTAATTTGTTTTAACGTAGGTGCTTATGGTTTGTTTGCCTCCTTTTTCCAATTATGTTCATTTTCAGTTGTCTCTGTTTGTGGTTAAGGTGTTTGCTTACCATTGGTTTATAGTATGTAACAATCTAATTGAGGTGTGCCTTTTTTTTATGAAATTTTCTCCTTAGTTAATTGGTTGGTGTTTGATAATACTGAATTTTCTAAACTCAAAAAATATTGATAAAAATTTGAAAGAAAATGATATATAAGTCTACTTTGTAGATTAATTTTTTAGATCTAATGATATGTAAGTGAGATGATTAGTTGATGATTAGAGAAGACATGATAGACAATTGTTTTAGATATTTTATTTGATTGTTACATCATTGAGTTTGAAAAGTAGATCAGATTTAAATGATAAACTCAAATGAGTTGTTTAATATGAACAAAATAATTTTTTTTTAAATTTTATCTTTTAATTTTTATATATGGTGGAGGTGTTGGCGACGACAATGGTTATGGCAATAGTGTTGTAGTAATGGTAGGGTGGTAGTGG